TAGCCAATCATTCCTAATTAAAGAATGATTCGAAATTATAAAGTGTACAAAGTACCCGAAAAGAACAAAATCTCTATTCCAAATTGAGACCACATTTTATTTGTAAGAAACGAGAGACATTCCAAATTGAGACCACTTTTTAAATCTAATTAATAATCATCAAAAAAAGTGGTCTCAGTCATGAAGCCTCGTACCGGTTGAATATACAAATCAATTAAGTGAAGGAAGTATAGTACAAAAAAGAATATAGATGTTCTTTCTGTTATACGATAGTTCCATATTCGTTTTCTTAGGCAGATTAAACAATACTGTACTCAGTTTTCTTTCCAATTCAGTTACCGATGCAGTTCTTTTCGGTTATTGTTTATCGCAAAATAAACTATGAATAGATAGAAAACCACCACTAGACGTACAAAATTCTATTCAAGTCGAGTTAGTCATTTAAAACAAGAATGTAAAAATAGTTTATTTATTTTTCAAAAAGAAGACTTCAGGCAAATTAGCTTAAAAATTTGTATGCATACCTGTCACATCAGCGCCGATAAAGAGTGTTTTCTCAGAGTGATTTTCTTTTTCGATCTCATTGATGTAGAATGTCCAATGCACGCTTTCAACATCAACATTACTGAAATGCAATTATGAGTTATTAATATCATTATTTTTGTATTCTTACATTCTACAAAATACGATATTAAATTTATCTGGTCTGAAAGACTTGACGCAAGTCGGTCTTTTTAACATTGAGTTTGTCCGGCCGCGTGGCCCAATATGCTCCTGGCTCGTTGAGCCTTACTTCGAAGAGAAAAAATCGCCTCTTGGAATAGTGTTCGGAATGACACAGAAATAAATAAAGACAGGTCATTGGCATAAAAATGGCTCAATTCATCGTGACAAGAATGAACTAAATCAGCTATAAAAATAAGAAAAAGCGTGAGAGAAATAACAGAATCCTGCGTGGTACCCCATTCTACAAAAGTGAATGAAAGATTACATATCGACAAAATCAAATAAATATATAAATTTAAAAAATGGAAGAGTATTATTAATTATATATTCTGTATGAATGGAATAACTTCTAGCATTTGATTCGATAATCGGAAATTGAAATGACTGAAATACTGCAGTCAGTAAGATAAATGGAGAAGATTATCACTTTATCGAATGAGTACCAGTATAGTGAGAGCATTTATACTGTTTCTGAAGCGGTTTCGACTATTTTACGAGTATTTATTGAAATAGATCAATTATTCAGTTTCTTTTTAATAATTCAGTACTAGATGCGAACTCTAAAATTATTTTTACTGGGACAGGACTACACACATATATATTTGTTAATGAGACGTTCTTTCTGTATTAATTAATCACATGGGGCAGACATGTGCGGGAGAACGCGAGGGGTACCAAGAGCGTACATGTTTCTCAGGATGTGAGCTTTTTTTCAAAAGAAAAAGAATATAATTACTATAAACCGATATCAAACTGCTAACGATGTCTTTTTCTCAGGTCAGACAGATCGTTCTTATTCTTGCGTGTACCTTTGATCATCGGTGAATACGTATTTAGTTGAAGCGGTCATGATCCGAAGAACGCCTAACTGAACATACAGTAGCTAATATTCCCTGTTGGTAAGAAGCTTTAAACATGTGATGTATTTTATTGTTGTTTTGATGTATTATGAATAAAATGAAGAGACATTGATGAGAGAAACTGTTCGCAGATAACTCAGTAATGTGGTGGAGGAACGATCCTTCTCAAAATATAGTGTCTGCCACTGTATTTTTAATAAATATTAAATCAAAACCTACTTAACGGTTTAATACCAAATTGGGGAAACTTGAAAGTAGATGGAAACATGGATTCTCGACCACGCTGACTCTCGTGGCAACGTTCGCTTTTCGGAAAAGGTCAAAAAAGTAGTGAAAATCTATACTAGATGAAATAATCCATTTTTGCGTATTTTCATATAAAATTAGAAAACTCGTAACGCAGTCAACACTGATTCACACTACGTCAGAAAGTCAAGATGTAACGGATTAAATCTGCTTAATATAGTTTCTACTTGCCAATAGTAAAAAATATTCGTTTACTTCGCAAGGTTTTTAGAAAATTTTTCAAAACGTAAAATATTTCATTTTCGTTTTTAAAAGTTCCCTAAACTCCATGATATATTGCCGATAAAATTGAGTACATCTTGATCAGTATTAGTATTTTCTGACGTAGTGTGGATTTTGACTGCATTATAAATTTTCTAGTTTTGCATGAAAATAGGCAAAAATGAATTATTTCACTCATTTATTTTATTTTTTTAGCTAGCAATCTGGGACTTGCGTAGATCGATAGAGAATAGTCTGTAAAATCTGTCGCTTTTGGGTCCAAAACCTATCATATTGTACATCAGTCGATGCATCTATTACGCTGATTCCGAATATGCTACTTTTTTCAAATTTTGAAACATTTTAGTCCGAGAAAAATAGAAAACACCTGAAAAAACCGAGGTTTTTTGGAAAATCCATAACTCTGGACACGAAAGTTTTTCGCAAGTTTTTCCTACTTGTGTAGACCTGTCATATGTAGGATCACATTCTCTGAAGGTTTCATCAAAACTGGAGTTAGGCTAGAGTTAGCGCACGCATTTCGTCAAACACGTAGCTTTGGAGAACTGTCTGGAAAAGTGGTGTGTCTGGCTTGGAAGCCGCCAAATTTTAAAATCTTTTACCAATCGGTAGCGGTCTGGATGCCGATTTTGAAAATGTGTTTGCTTGTCTTACGGCTTACCTTGATGCTGCATATACTCCGATTTTCCGGCGGCACCATCGTTTTAGTGAGTTTTTATTCATAGCTTTTTCCCAGCTTAAATTAGTCACCGGAAAATTATTTTTTAACCATCGAACAGAGCATAGTTCACAGCATATTAATCACTATAGTATCAGTATCATACTATCACTTGGTGATTCATATCTTTACTTCTATCATCTTTTTTTCAGTTCTATTTTTGATTTTACATCATGCATCTACCGTATGATCACTTTTATTTTATTTTATTTCTAAGATGCACATATGGCACAATTCAAGTGAAATTTTATTCCGAACTTGTTATATACCATTCGATAGAGAATTGAACGCTGATCACGGCAAACACTTTCTCGGCTACTAAAACCCTTTCCTCACTCAACCAGCCTCAAAATACTCTGAAGTGTCCAAAACCGCAAAAAAGAGGGTTTTTGAAAAATGGCTCTAGTGTTTTCACATTCCATTTTTATGATTCAAGAGTGGACTCATTAGAATTAGAATCGAAAGCTGATTCCAGAAAAGTAAGTGTCGAACCTCTAAAACCAAAACTGGATTTTTCCGGAGCCCCGAAACCCGAACCTCGAAAACATGCTGACCGTTTTTGCAAATTCAAAAACAGTTTCCGGAGACGTTCAAACTCAGATATTTCGGCATGGGTAGATTCGCTGCGAGCTCCTCTTCAAAAGTATACGTGCAGATTTTTTAATTTGTTTTTCCTCGCCGAGAAATTTTACCGAGAAGTATGTACAAACGACCAGGTCCTTTTGCACTAGTTTCGCCAGTTTTGTTCTAAATTCAGTCAAGTTAGAGTCAGATAGACTAAAAGCCATAGAGAATACGATGGACACTTCAGAGTATTTTGAGGCTGGCTCAGCGAGGAAAGGGTTTTAGTAGCCGGGAAAGTGTTTGCCGTGATCAGCGTTCAATTCTCTATCGAATGGTATATAAAAAGTTCGGAATAAAATTTCACTTGAATTGTGCCATATGTGCATGTTATTATCAAGTCGAAGTTAACTTTTCTTTTATATTTTTGTCAAGAGTTTATTTAAGGTTAAAATATGTGTATTAAATAGACAACATTTTTCTATCGTGTTCGAAATAGGTCTAGAATTGTCCATCTTTGTTTTGGTTATTTTCTTTTTCTTTTTTTGATTGTTTATTATTCATTCATTGACACTGAATGTTTAAAATTCCTAAAACCAGGATGTGTTGTCCTTATAAGCCGTAAAAGATAGCATGCCAACATATGCTATAAAATGATTAGAAAGCATTAGTTAGCTGTAAAAGATGATTTTTTATAGATTTTTGCCTATGCTCTCTCTCTCTCTCTCATGATGAGACCGATAAAATTCCATTCTCTGGTTTTCAAAAGGATTTCTGCAAATCAAGGGTTTAGAGAAATTCTTCCAGCTTTATTTAGCATAGATTATCCTTAAAGGGACAGAGAACCCTCCCGATTTTTTCCACCATTTATTAAGCACAGTTTGAAATATATTTTTAGCAATCTTTTCGATTCCCGAACTTGTAGTTCTTCAGAAAAACATTTTTGAAGTCTTTTTCAGGCTTTTAACCCGAATTTTGAAATTTAAATACAATCTTTAAATTTTAAAATGAAGACTTATTTGTTGCATCATTAGAGAAAGGACATTAAGTTATATGCAGAAAAAAGTGTTCGTCGTTCCAAGATGAAGTTTAATGGAGAAATTAAACTTTTCCTTCCCGGTGGAATTTTGGGGCTAAAAGTATTTTGATAAAACCTTGCCCACAGTGTCTCGAAAGGAAGCATTTTCGAGGAAAAGTTGTTCAGAATGTCATTTTCTATGGGATAAGCCTTTGCTGGCTCGAAATTCTTTGAACTCGAATATTTAATTAAAATTTACGAACTTTTAAAACTTTAAAAACCATCTTTAAGTTAAAGGATGAGGAGGTGGAGATTTCTTTCTTAGCATGGTTTTCTTTTACATGATCAACTCGGTATAATAAATCGTATAAATTTTTGGACTATCGGTTAACGTTTACATATTTTTACATAATAGGAAACTAAAGTGCAGCGACCTCATTAGTTTTCAGTATCGTGAAAGGATCCATCTTTGCGATCTATTCAATAGCACGGCCGCGGGATATGTTGTAGTTTCAAAACATATAATAGATAAGTGGAGTAGTAGCGAAGCTGTTAGTCCAACAAGCAACATACATCGTATGAGACGTTATCACTCATGTGCAAACCAGATACCAATCGTATCACGGGTTATGTCAAAATAAAAATCGCGGTTATCTTTCATTTTGTTCAGTTGCTTTTCGAACTGCTCTTTGATTATATGATCATACGGTAGTAATAATTGCATTAGACAAAACACACTGTCCAAATTCTTCAGTTCCATTACCAAAAAACGCAATAAATTTGTCATGTGTATTTCTTTAATCATATTCAGCTTTAGAATTTTAACGCTTGCAAATATGTCGCAAAATTGATAAATATGTTCAGGAACATGATGATAATTGTTGACGGTTAGTTGTCGAATTTGGTTTTTGATTGAACAATAAAGTGCATGATTGTTAAAATTAGTTGTCATTTTTGCAAGACCCACATAGCTAGCAGTTAAGGATGTTAGGTTTGGACACAATTCCAAAATGGTCCATAGAGAATTGGTCGTGAGCTCATCAATCAATATCAAATGTTTTAATTTTTGACATTGAACTAAATCGAAGAGATGATAGTTCATCATTGATGTAGCAGTACCTGACACAGTTAACGTGCAAACATTGGAAAACTGACGATCTAATGTAGTCGATGTTGTTTCATGCTTTTCATTTAAATAAATATCCAAATGTTCAACGTTTTTATATGGCATGATGCAGCTACATAAGAGAAAAATTTCATTTTGATGTGATACGCTGAATAGTCAATCAAAGCGATTCATTCGGGTTTTAGAGCACGAAACATGATTCGTTATGTAATGTAATTAATCTCTGAATAGTTCTAGAGTTATATTTGCCAAGCTACAACCAATTCGAAAATATCCTTGCACATTACACCTAACTCTCAATTTTCTATCATTACGCACAACTATATTAACAATTAAATATATTGTTCCGAAGTTGTTGCGAAACTTAAAATGTACGATAAAACCCAGATTAGAATTCAGACTATATTGGAATTTTGACAAAGATTTTGATAGAAAATTCTGATCTGATCTAGACAAGCTCAGAATTTTCTGTCGACATATATTCAATCACTATAAAACGTTAAAAACATATTTCACTGTCTTCTGATTTTATAATAGAAAAATAATAGTATTAAATAAATATAATATACCATCAAAGAAACATAGTAAGTTTTTTCCAAATCAACGCAATAACCATCGCCCGAAATAAATTTAGTGACCGGAGAATGAGACAAAACAAATGAGAATTTTCCTTAATGCCCATTGATGGAATAAGAGTTATGAACAGAGGTAGCTCGTTACTTATTACTCAGCGTTACTTTACCAAGTAAAGTAACAGAAATAGTAACAAGTAACAACTGCGTTACTTGTTACCAACAACAAAGTAACAAACTAGCACCTGATCTTACTAATTACTAATATCGGTGCCGAAATAAAAGGTTCGTTTCTTGAATAACTCCGTCATCTTGATAAATAGCGACCTGCGATTTTCAGTAATCGAAACTAGAGACTTACAGCCACCTGTTCACAAACAAAAACTACTTTTAAAAAGATTTGTAAGACAGGTTTTTCATAGAATCTTTGGAAAACCAGTTCCGCTCTCAGAAAATTAACATACAGTGTTAGTAATTATTTTGGATGTGTAGATAGTCCAGACGTTACTCTACAAAACTATGCAAGTCCCAGCTCTGCAGCTGTCGTTGTTTTGACAGGGCTCGCTTTCTCCGATGACGTGTCTATCTCCGAACAGACATCTCTGGGAATCTCTTAATGCCAAGGAATATAAATAATCGATTAACGAACAATAATTGACTAGAAAACACGAAGATTTTGAAAAACTATCGAGGGAACATATGTAAGTGTCCTCTCGCTTTTTCAACGAAACCTAGTGGGTTATAGGTTATCGATGATGCTGATTCCGAATAGGGATATGAGAGCTGCCCTTAGGGCTTCGAAGATCCGGTTTTATGGAAAATCAGCTTTTCAGAAACTCTGAAAAACAGCCAAAGCTTTTCTTAATAAGCCATGCTTGTAGCCCGCACATTTCTGATTAAAATGAGACCTCTCCCAACTCTACATGACCTTTCTTTGCAAAGTTATAGAATTTACAAGAAAAGCCCTAAATATTCATTGTCAACTCGAAGCGACAGAAATAAGAAGAAATTAATTTAGGGCTCTTTGTGTATATCCTATAACTTTGTCTCATTTTAATCAGAAATGTGCGGGCTACAAGCATGGCTTATTAAGAAAAGCTTTGGGTGTTTTTCAGAGTTTCTGAAAAACTGGTTTTCACATTCCTAGTTGTAACATTGATTTTACTCTATAGAAAAACTTTAGTACACAAAAATGTAGGTAAATCGAATGATGAAAGCTTTAGCCGTCTACCTATCATCGTCCAAAGTTGTTCTCAAATTGAGAGATGGCAACGACACCCAAATTTAAATACAAAGTAAATTGTGTGTGTGTGTTTATTTAGGCGTTGTGCTTTCAAAATCTGCTGTAACACTTTCATTTAAAACTGTTTTCGTCAGTTCGATTATGTGTCACGTATTTTATAGTGAAGTTTGATTGAGCGCGAGAACAACATCTCCCTATCACGTAAATTAAGTTATCGAGATGAAGCCCATGTCACATATCAGTCGATCTTGCTTGCCGAAAATATAACCAAACTTAACATGATTTTAACTGCAATAGTAGCGTTAAATTGCGCATCGAGCGTTTAGTAGTAAGATGGGTGACTGCTTATGAAGACTTCTTAGGATGCATCATTCAGAATTGAAAGGTGTGTTAGATTGGTGATCTCTTTAACTTGCTAGAAGCCACGCATTACTCTCTTAACTAGTATCGATCTCTACAGAAAAACTGTTCGATGCCGTCATTTTTCAAAAATACGTAGTGTTAGTGAATACCTCTACGACACAGTTAATGAATAATTCTGATGTGTGTTTGTCATGCATATTACCATATTTCAACAAAACATCTAGTGGAACCCTCACGGTTTGAGTCGTGTAGGAAACTATGTTCTATATAATTTTAATAGAAAATACTTTGGTACTATTTTAAAATAAGAAAAATATTGCGGGGCTAAAAGTACTTGAGATACCTAAAGATTTGAATTTATACGTACTGTACGAACAGGTTCCGGAACGATGCGCACGAACAATGTTGCGCTCGGATTCTTGCGGGCGGATTCATGCGCGCGAGTACCTTACACATGAGGAATGTTTCGTACCAGATTGTTACATACGGGCGCTTGCACACGTAACACATAACGAACAGAAAATCAAACTGCTGATGTTCAGTAATCAGAGCGTTTATTTAATCTAAAGTTTTTAAAGAACATAAATAAGTATTGTGAACAAACTGACTAAACGATGTTGTTTCGTAAACAATATAGTACTATAAATATAGTTCTGTGCAATACAATGTTACACTGCTATACGATTTCGAAATTTTCTGTACTATGACTTCTCAACATGAAATGACTATAACTAGGAAAGGTCAACCATTGATGGTTGACGACAGGTATTCATATGTAAAAGATCGTCAAACGGATCTAAAAATGTACTGGCGGTGCTAGAACCATAAACGTTATAACTCTCATTATCGTTTACATACATGTAACTTAACAAATGGTATAAAGAACGAAAAGGTACACATGCATCTAATGGTAATCGTGATAAACTGAAATTAATATTACGAAAATTTGACGAAAAACTAAATGATCGAGCAACATCAGCACAGAAGATCATCAGTTTGATTTTCTGTCTTATTATGAGATACGTGCGTAACAATATGGTGTATAAGATTCCGGTGCGGAACATTCCTCGTGCGTAAGGTACCCGTGCGCATTATTCCACGCACAACTTTCCTCGTGCGCATGAATCCGTACACAACATTGTTCGTACGCATCCGTTCCTAAATCCGTACGAACTGACCGGATCAGAATTTATTTAACTAAGAAGTTGTGGAAGGGGTTTTTAGAGAACGAGTTGCTGTAGACCTGTTGAATAAAGATATATTAGCAGAAATCGATATCAAATTTGTCATTATCATCAAACATTACTCGAGGTTTCCTAATACTCGGTATCAAGAAAAAAGATATGGAGTGATTGGGATTCTTCTCTTATGAGAGACACTTTACTACCAAAATTGATAGCAAGTATTGTGGCTGTTAGAACAAACTAAATTTTGCTCAATGGCTCTTATGCACATATAGAAAAACACACTTTCTTCTATCAGACTATCTGTCAGAAAAAATTTTGAATATATATAGTAAAGGAGAGAAATATTTATGAACCTAAAAGATTGAAATTTTCCAGGCTTTGAATAAAAAACTCAAAAGTTCATAATATTTTGAAGGAAGATCAGGGAGAGCTGGGAGTACTCTCATTTTATAACCAGACTTTCCTCTACATTAGACTATGTTCAGCTCGAAATGAAAACTTTTCTGCAAAAAAGAGATGGGGGGTGGTACCCTTAAGAGACATTGCACGAGTCACTCGAGCAGCGACTATAAGGAAAAAGTACGAAAAAATTAAGCGTTTTTAGAAAAACACTATTTTAACTATTAACTTTTACCCGTTCATGCAATATCTTTAAAACACTGAAAGGAAGTATACCGTGCAGTTGACTCATAATTTGTGTGCGTTTGATATAAATTTGTTTTGAAATATTTTGTTTTTGTCAATGGTACCGTGTAAACATGAGCTTCTCCCCGTTCTGCTTGATAATCGCATTGAAAATTCCATCGTGTTATTTGTTGAAATGATAGTGCGATGCAGCAAAAATCAAGTGTGGCAGGCACATTTAAATAGGTACAATTGTAGTGAAATGCTTTCAGTTTTGGCAAAGCTGACAGAAGTTGAGTCTTTATTCGTTCGCCAGTCATCTCGGAGATATCATGAACTTTCGGGCATGTATACAATAAATGTGTAAGATTTGATCCAGTGAGTTTAATGAGTGATTCCATACAATGGTAGGGAACACCACATCCATTCTTCAATGCGAAATGTGTCAATTTCGGCAGTGGACCAGTTGAATATTTGAGATTAATCGGCGGTGCTTGCTCGGAATCGAAATGTGTGATACAAATATTTAATGAGCGAAGATTTGGTAGAAAGCGAAAAAGGATTAGACATGATGGATAAGAGCATCCATTATCAATTGATAACGAACTAATGTTTGATCTGGAGAGCATCCAACACGAACCAAAATCGAACACTTCATCTGTATTCAGCAACGACAATGAAAATGATTTTAGTGTCTGAACAGAAAGTATGATGTCGGTCTTAAGAGTAAACCTTGTCTGAATCGACAAATATTCGATTGAATGTTGTAGGACTTTATCAACAACCTCGTTCAACTGTGCCTCAGTTAACTCAACAAGTACGAGAGATTTTAGATTAACAAACTGAGATAGAATACGACCGAAACGAGATGACTTGAGAAATACGTGAACAGCACCGTACATGCCACTATTTGATAGACGTAAGTATTCAACTTCAGATGGATTAACCATCGATAGTTGACATAAACGATGGAAATCTGTTTTGGACAGATTGCTACTAAAATCGAGTTTATTTAATTTCATTTGAATTGGATCAAGGATAATACGACGAAAACGTGAATTTAAATTGAGCAGTTCTTGATACAGATCCAATGGAGAGCAGTAAGACAATATCAACAATAATATTTCGTCCGGACATCCTTCGAGCGTTAGTACCGCGTCTAATAAAGAAAAGAAGTTTTGGGTGAAAAGCTGTAAAGTGTATGAAGGTCTTACCATTTCGATCTATGACAAATCTTGTTGCATTACTCTCCGTTATGGAGTGTTTACGTTTCATCTAGAAAGATATTACTCTCCATCATAACGAGACAAAAGCCTTTCAAAACGAAGTGTTAAAAACTATTTTAGATACCAAGAATCCAATTTGAAAATGTGTATTTAAGCCCAAATGTAGTGTAGACTTTGCTCTACCCATAGATAAACGATTAATTTCTTTAGTAAAATCCGTCTGTGAGAAAACGGCTCACAAAGCTTTTTCTTCTACTGTAAGATCAACTCACTGTAAAAGATGCTTTTCACTTGACGTTTTCAGTACAAAAAAGAGAGAAAGAACAATGAAGAAAAGGTGAATCATTTTGTCAACATGTAAGTTGGTAGTGAAAGAAAAGAAAAAGAGCTCCGATCACTGGGAATTTTCCAACATATAACTCGAAAAAAAAAGCTGAAAAGCACTACAAACAATAAATCACTGTTTTATGATGCGATTTAAAATTTCTTTGCTTCGAGTACTTGTCCAATTTCTTGTCCACGACAGACGTATACGTCTATCGTTGTCGACACTGTCTATAGACATGAACGTCTGTTTCTGTACTGATGATGTACCTTTAGTAATTCGAAAACTCTGCAATAATTCAAATTTTTAAATAAATATTTCTTCATAAATTAAAAGACCAATACTCAAATTGCTAAAAGTACCCGTCAATATATTTATTGTGAAAGTCCTGCCATGAGCGCATGAATACACAACCGATACTGGTAGCACAAGAACAAATGAGAAGCTTCTATAGAATTCCTACCTGAAATGGTTAAATAAAGGTTTCAAACTTGCGACAATAAAAGGTGAAAGGATTTTTATCTCTTAGCTCATTAGATCCCGTGTACCCAAGCAAAAATTCTCTACGGAGAGAATCTAGCTCCATCGGCTACATAACCGCGCGGTTATTCACTTGATGGATCTAGGTAAATGTACCTTTTTACCTAGTTAGCTAGCTTCAACCTAGTCGTGAACCGAGCAGTAGGTTATTATAATCGAGTAGGAGCGGGAGGTTGACACCTAGGTTAACCGTCCAGTTAACCGACCGGTTAACGAAAATATCCGAAAATATTTGATTAGAGGGAGGTGATCAATGAGGTTAACCGGGCAGTTCGAGTGCCCGGTTGACCGAGTGGTTGGAGTACCCGGTTAACCGGGCGATTGGCGCGCCAGGTTAACCGGGTGCTCTAACCTAGCTTAAAAAATACAAAAAAAAAAATGTGCCTAACGAGTATCGAACTCGCTGATCAGCGCACGCAGAATTGAGATTAGAAGTACGCGGCGTTTTAACCAACTACGCTACCAGATATACATGTAGTAGTTGATGAGTGATCAAATCATTCAGAACATATTTTAGAGATTTGCGTTTTCCCTTTGAAAAAAGCATTTTTGAGAGTTAAATATGCAACATAAAATGTAGTGAATTTAATTTTCTAAATTCTATGTGTTCGGACCAGATTCTCAGAAATCGTTCTTTCTGGTATAAAACAGTAAATATCGTTTTCAACCATGAAGATCGATTTGTACAAAGTTGAGCTCAGCAGATAAAATTTAGGAATTTAAATTTGCCATATTTTTTGTCTCAAAACTCAACTTTGGAAAACTTTTTTTTCATGGTGAAAAATCAAAAATATCATCTTTTTGCCTAATTTCCAAGTTTTCCCCGTGAAAGGAAAACTTTTTCAAAGTTGAGTTTAGAGACGAAAATATGGTAAATTTAATTTTCCAAATTTCATCTGTGGTATCCAACTTTGTGCAAATCGATATTCAGGGTGAAAAATGATATTTACTGTTTCTTACACTGAAGAACGATTTCTGAAAATCTGGTCCCAGCACATAGAATTTAAATTTGCTACATTTTATGTTGCAGATTTAACTCTCAAAAATGTTTCCTTCTAGAAGAAAATACGAGAAAGCAGAAAAGTATGACCTTCTGGCAGGTTCGAATCTACAAAAGGGTTGTACTTTTCTGCTTTCTTTCTATTCGTAGTAAAATTGATTTGTAAGTTTGTTCAAGTGTCTTTGCAGTTTTAGAGTTACGCTTTTAACACTCTGCTACATGCTCGATTCCTAAAACTAAATGAATTTTCTTTTCAGAAACAGCCGTTTTGTCTCATAATCAAGGCAGACTTCTTCAGTGTAAAGAGAAATAGAATCCCAATGTAGTAACGTTTCCTAGTGCGTAATATTGAAAACTGTGGGATTTCTTTTCTGTCAGAATGAATAGTGCAAAGGTTCATCGTAAATTACGATGAACCTCGTTACGATTCGTAACGAAGCATTTTTACAAAATTTCCTAATTATTAGTCTGTTGCAAAACTCAGCTCAAACGTCCCAAACTAGTTCGTTTACACCACTGGAATAAACAATAATCTTCTTCATGTCCTTTCCAATCACGAACTAAGTGGAACTAACTTGGCCGGTAGGTTAACTGTAGAGATGAAATGAATGGCTAACTTCACAGTATTCCATTCTCTTTCTATAACATCAAACAAAATGATTTCCTTTTCTGTGACGTTATCCATATATACTAGTGTTTCATTTGGACGAAAGGAGAATGAATAACGAATCTTTCACCATCATTCATGTCATATATCTGTTTTTTTTCGGTCTCTCTATGCGTTAATCCTTTTAAAAAAGTCGTGAAAGTGTGAAAAGGACATGTAAAAAAGACGCCACAAACTCAAGTATGGAGTATAGTGTCTATCTTTCTTATTACCTTTTCCTACGAAAATCACGACTAATCCTTTCACATATTCCGTGAAATGTATCAACACATTTTTAAAGCACACGAAATAAAACTTTCGCTTACATGCTTTGATGAATGTGAAAGTAGTGTAAGAAAGAGAATAGCAATACTCATTTTGTCTCGTCCGTAACCAAACGTTACCCATGTATAGAAAGCAAAGACGTCTACATCTTACAATTCTCGTTAGGCACGTATTCTTTTTTCCTATTTTTTAACCTAGGTTAGAGTACCCGGTTAACCGCACGAACCGGACGCTCCAACCGTCCGGTTTATCTGTAGATTAACCTACTTGACAACCTCCCTGTATCTAATGTATTTCATCTCTCGAACTAGCTGAACCGGTCGGTTAATTGCCCGATTGGAGCCAGGTCGGATAGAGCTAGTTCGATCGATAGGTTAAGTGGGCGATTAACCTAGATGATAACCAAAAAAACCGAAAAAACCGAAAAATTGCTCCGTAAAGTTAAAAGCCTTTTTTTTATTTCTAGTTGGCAGCTAAATTTTTAGAGTTGCATCACAAAACTTCCTCCACCTTGCCAAAGCTGTATCGAAAACGCTGAGTTTTAGAGATNAAAAGTTGCTTGAATACTTACACAGTAAATTACTTATTTGTCTGCATTCGATTTTGAGAAAGCCAGAAAAGCTGTTATAAACTGGAAAAAGCGCAAGTTACTTGAATACTTACACAGTAAATTACTTATTTGTCTGCATTCGATTTTGAGAAAGCCAGAAAAGCTGTTATAAACTGGAAAAAGCGCAAGTAAAAATCCCTCTACTTCACATTAACAAAATATGAACCTTATCTAAATAGAACATTATATAAAAAGTTATATACTAAGAGTCGTATTTTTAAAAACATAATTTAAAGATATGTATCGTATCACCATTATAGGCGTCAAACAGTAAGCAAATATCCGTTCTCCCGTAAGATATGCTTGCGCGGGCATTTCCACGCGTTCGATATAAAAGAACGAAGACAAAAGCCGAAGCGTCATTTTCTTTTCTTTTCTGGGTATGACCACTACAGAGAATAATACATAGAGAGTACATACTCAGTATTCAGAGAGAGTTTTCGGAAATCTGCTGTTTTCAACTCTCCTTGTATACATTTTCAGTAGAGAGACGGATGCAGTATGAGTTTTAGCAGAGTTTTCGATTAGATGGAGAAATTCCCCCACCTTGTTTGAAAAAAATTACTCCGTTCATTTTAAAAGATTTTCTCGTACTAAAAGAAAAATTGCTCCGTAAAGTTAAAAGCCTTTTTTTTATTTCTAGTTGGCAGCTAAATTTTTAGAGTTGCATCACAAAACTTCCTCCACCTTGCCAAAGCTGTATCGAAAACGCTGAGTTTTAGAGATTCCAAACGTATGTTTGAAAATATATGATCTGCATGTCCTAGCTTTTTGTAGCATCTGAGCACATTCATATATTTCTCTCCTTGACTGCATCATATCTAGGTGAACCGATCTATCTTTATTCTACAGATCTCTTTAGTCAAAACAAGAATATCTTTTGTTGACCTAAAACAAAAGTAAAGTTTACACCTTTAATTCGATAGAAAGTATGGATCAGCGTAGCCTGAAACTGCAATTTACTCGAATGTGTAATATATTCTTCATTTCTACTGAAATCTTCCTATCAAAAGTAAAAACTCAACTGCAGATAATGATTTTTTTAGTTTAGTAAAGATGTAGGCTTTATATTTGTCAATTTTATGTTTAAGGTATTACAACATGAGTTGGCTACATGACTAAAACTAAACCGATTTAACTGCGATATCAGTTATATATCACCTCAAGGTTGAGGAGAGCATACAATTTTTTCCAGTCTCCCTCTCATCTCGTTCGAACCTCGCTCACGTTTTTTAATCATTTTCAACTGATGATAAAAAAAAGAGCTGCTCAAAAACAAATAGTAAAAAGAGTTGAGAAACATAAAATTAATAAATACATAACTATACGAACATGCAAGACAATGAAAAATTCACGGTTCTGTTTACTTTCCTATTTTGATTCTCTTTTCTTTAACGCGATGAAGAAATGTCTTTACATCATACAGCAAACAGAAAGAAGTTATGATGTATTAGAATAGTCTCCTCGTCAAACGTTACGGATCTGATGCCTAGAGTCATATCAAATAAGACATTTCTCTGCTTTTCTATCCTGCACGTGCCTCACATTTCTCTTTCATTTCTGACACAACACAAAAAGAAACGGAACGAAAAAGGTTCATTCTCTTGCGTGTCTGTGTACGACAGTAACACTAGGGTTACACTACGCAAATAATCACGATTAACTTTAATAGCGATTAAAGTTAATCATCTTCTGAACATGTTTATCTTTACTCATGATTTTCAAAATAATCGTGAGTAAAGTAGCGGTTACACTACTAGTTTAATCACGATTAGTAATCACGATTAAAGATACTCGTGATTATTTGCGTGGTGTAACCCTAGTGTAAGTTATCATCTATATATCACTACGGTTACACTACGCAAATAATCACGATTATCTTTAATTGTGATTACTCATCGTGATTAACACTAGAACGCCCGTAGCGGTCATTTTGATCGTTTTTTGATCTTTATCCCTTATAAAACAAATTGCGTACAATACTATCGTTTCAGAAAAAAATTCCTTACTATACCAAACGATAGACAATTTAATTCTCTACAAGATTGTATATTCATTTTTAAGATTCATCTTTGATGTTTAGCACGGTAATATGATCGCTTTGGGCGTTCTAGGTCATGAAAATTTCCAGGCATTCTAGTGTTACACTAGTAGTGTAGCCGCTACTTTACTCACGATTATTGGAAAATCATGAGTAAAGATAATCACGTTCGGAAGATGATTATCTTTAATCGTGAGTAACTTTAACCGCCTCTATCGGAAAAAGGATCCTGGCAGCGGCGCTTCCATATGACTGCTCAACTGCTAAGTAATAATTATTTTTTTAACAATAACTTTTTTAATAATAATTTTTCTTTTTAAAAATGACTACGCAGAGTTACAAGAATAGAACGAAGGTGAAAAGATCGTGGTGGTCTTCGAAAGAAACAAACTTGCTGCTAAACTTGTTAAAAGATGAAAAGATATCGAATGAAATGGCTAGTCTTCGGAATCGTGACGTCGGGAAAAGGATACAGGAGGGTTTTATTAGCAGCCGGTGTCAACAATCTATTGATCGGATTAAAAAGTGTTACTGTATTCATTGTAACCTTACCAACACAAAAATGAGTTCTCTCCTGCATACTGAGTATTTATCGTAATAGGTACGAGTTAAGTCACGATTATCTTTTTAATCGTGATTAGTGCGGTTACATACAATTCTATTCATCGTGATTAAATATCGTTAATCATGATCCAAAAAACATTGCGGTTACACAAGAAAATGTTTAATCGCGATTATCTTTTAATCTTGATTAAAGATAATCGTGATTATTTGCGTAGTGTAATCGTAGTGAAAGATATACGATTAGAAAAACAAGAAATTTAAAGATATCTGAGGATATCTAAGAGCATATAAAAGCGCATCTATCTAGAGGAAATCTCAAATCGGTTATGGTATACCACAAGATTCGGTTCTAGGGCCACTTCTCTTTTTGTTGTCCATCGATGATCTTCCACAGTCAATGGTCTGCACGTGCAGATTGTTTGCTGATGATGGCTCTCTCTATACGGTAGTTAAGACGAATCAAGATGTGACGAATATAAACAAAGACTTGGAGCGAGTTCATCCACGGTCAGAGGACTGGTTGCTGAACATAAATGTTACTCGCTTTTCCTCACACATAAAGCTAGAGCCTGTCTGCCAGCACTTATTCTTGGCGATACAACGTTGAGATATGTTGATAAATATACTCATTTCGGGCTAGTATTAACTCCAAATTTGGATTGGACTCCACATGTAGATAACTTTTATTCAAAATATTCCACGATGATTGGATCATTAAAATTATCATCTCGCTGTATGGCAAGACGTGCACTTTTGTTAGCCTATCACTCATATGCATTTACTGTAATGAACTATGATAGTGTTTTATATTCTGGCACAACTAGAACAAATTTGAATCGATTTGCATCTCTACAGTATCATGGATCACTTGCAGTGACTGGTGGTATGAGACTTTCCTCGACGAAGAGGGTACTTGAGGATCTTGGTTGGTTACCGATAGAGGAGACATTCATCAATCAACGTCTGTCTTTATTCCACAAAATTATGCATCGAAAAGCCCCGACTGGATTAATTGAGTTGGTATCTACTGATACCACTACTCATTTTCACAATTTACGTAGTCGTACTCAACGTAAGCTGCCGACACTCATAAAGCGTTTACAAGTTTTTGAGAAATCATTCGTACGAACAACGTACAAACTAGGGAGTGAAATTCCGCTTGAACTGCGAACGATTGGTCTATATAGTCAGTTCAAAATACGTCTTCTTCACTGGAAACAAAATAAATATTTACCAAGTACTTACCGAATTCCACATAGTATCGACAGAACTAATGAGATTAACTTTCGTCGAATGTGAATTGATTTTTCACAACTAAAGTTCGATCTGTTCACACCTACACTAGTCTATCGTGTTCATGTGGCGAGGATGAAACTGTTGCCCATTTCTTTCTACACTGTCCAAATTATGCGCACGCAAGGATAAAGATGAGTAGAAAAATGCTAAAAGTAACTGTTAACAAATTTGAGAGTGTTGATTTTATTCTTCGTGGTTTTTCAGACCTCAACTATTCATTTGAGCAGATGCAAGATATTTACAGAGTTATTCTAAAATACCGAACTTGATCTGATGTAGAAATTGAATTTAGAGTAATACTGACTCAGATTTCCTTTCTGACACGTTCTAAGTTGACATACTTACGTATGTCTTTTGAAGTTTAAACTTAAGCACAGATTTAAGTAAGCAACTTAAGCAATTTTGTAATATGGCCCGAGTCTTTTCTCAGCGAACTAGCTTTTACTTTTGCGTAGTTATGTTTCTTGAAGGGTAGAGTGTTGTCTCATGTAATTTTTTCTTATATCTTGTCTAAAAATAACGTTTTTCTCTGAAAACATATTTTTGTTTGGAATTATTTTCTTTGCTGGGGAAATTTGGGAGGAAAAACGTAGTATTAATGATCATAATGTATAATTATAAAATATATGTGTATTTTGTAAAGTCCCCAACTAGTGTCTGATAGAACAAAATGACTTTGAAAACTGTAGTACAAAAGAGATCGGTTCATATTTTAGAGAAACAAATTTACTCCGCAACAAACGAGAAACTCCTATAGATCTTAATGATTTTTACAGAACTAAAAGCTCAAGTTAAGCAGGGTTTTTGGATTTTCATAATCTGATAGTATACTATACGGCATTTTACACACAAAAACCAAATGGATTGTAAGGCTACATGGGCATATCACTCAAACTTTACTCGAACTTTACTGAGGAATTTTATCCCGTAGGATGTTATTATAGTAGTTATTTTTGAAATCGCGACGTTTTTCTTACCTAAAAGTATAGAATTCTTGTTGTATCTCTAAGACATATATAAATGAGATTTAAGTTCTGATGCAATATCATTACATATTCAATAAAGTTCACAAATCATCCTTTGATTTAAAACCATCCATATAGTAAAGTGGAGAAGAACGGCTGATTACAGAACATGTTTTATACGAAAACAGCATAACACTTCTTTATTGATTTATTTTTCTCTTTATCAATAAAGAATCATAAATAAAGAATATTTTGAAAAAATAAGAATTCGAATTGATTTATCGATAAAATTAATAATCGGTAAAACCATACTCCTGCGTGATGTCTTTTACTGTATTTAATAAAAAGGGTACTATTTATATTTATGTTTATTATAAAATTGGCACTCTTTCCACTATGGATAGATCCCCAAGCAAAACTAAGTAAGCGAGAAAATCTAGCTGCAGAAGTAGCTGCAGCGCCCACTTACAGCTAGATTAACTAGATTAAAAGGTACATTTATCTAGCTGCATGATGGTTGAAATTGTGTACTAGCTGAAACGGCCACTGCATGGGCCAATTAATCGAGCAATGAATTGCCCGATTAATCGATAGCAACTAGTTGTACCCAATTGAAACTAGCTTCAATCTAGCTGAAGCTAGATAAAATTTTCATGTATTTCTGTGCAGCTAGCTGAAGCTAGATAAATGTACCTTTTAATCTAGATGCAGCGCCCGCTTCATGATTTTTTTTCGTGCTTGGGGAATAACAAGAAAATATAGTTCTGCGCATGAAATTAAATGAATATACTGACGTCAAAAATTTTATAATTTGATTTTAACATCCGATTTTTGTCTATATTGTCTTGCATTCTCTGTGTATTTTAGCAGTCAATAACTTTAGAGCCATGAGAAATATTCGTTTTTAAATATTAAATAATGCTCGGACTTTTTAAGTTCAGAAGTACTCATGAAATTTGATACGAGGCATTTAATTAAATAGAATACTTCTTAAAATTTGTTTGAAAGTAGGAGAGAAATCTCACAAAAAATTTGAAACAATATGATTTGGTCATTTGTTCTCGTCATATAAACAACTAAATGACTCGTTATTTTTAACGTAAGTCAAAATATCATATTCGTTTTTCTGACATTTTGCTTGATGTCCGAAAGCCAGTAATATCCATCCATAGCAAAATTGTGACTTTCGTATGATTCGTTAACTCCCCTGCCGCCTGTTGATCCCTAATTTGTTTAGTTGCAAATTGAATAACAAACGGGGACAACGCATAACGAGGTTGAACATATCTCTGAGCTTCTGTTGAAATTATCTGATACTGTGGAGCGTTATATTGAGACTATTAAGACAATTTCGTTTGAGGTGAACGAAACGAACGCGGTCCGAGCGTTTATTTTATTGACTATTCGACATGTTTACACCAATCGAATTTTGTGGGTAATTACTTGCATTGCTAGTATTAGGAAACCTGCCCCATTTTGACTTACGATATTCCACCGTCCGAACTGTTGGATCTTTATCAAAATCTTGAGTATGATCATCATTATCGGAGTCTTCTCGAGGTTGATGCATAGGAGAGTTACTCGGTGAATTAACAGATAACAGATTTTGACGAGAAGGAACTGGAATATAATTATAATTTAAATTACGATTAGCTGGTACTTAACATAAATGAGTTTGATCAAATGAATTTAACGCTTGATAAGCGTTACGATAAAGATCAGCTGTTGTGTATGGATTCATTAATTGTTAACCGTTGTTACACTAAGAGGGACCATAATGCTGACGATATTGAGGATCAAACGACATGAAGTCGATTAATTGATGAATTTCTGATAAAGTCGCAAAATTTTTCAAATTAAATACTGATTAAAAGATAAAACACGTGAAACACGTGATCAAATAACAAAGAACCACTATGTATGAAAAAACAATATGTACAGAAATAGCAGAAAGGAGAACTCGTCTGCTTGTTGTAAATTGAAATGATAATTTTTGTGAAACGGGATCAAATCTAAAATACATGTGTGCAAGACAAGTTAGAAATAATAAGTAAAATTGAAAAGAATAGAGATTATTTTAAGGTAATGCAGTTTAACTACAGGTTAAATACAAATGCTAATCTCAAATAAGATTATGCGATATTAATAAGAGAGTATGTTATGCAATTTTAACTAATTTTTTTCATTATACAAAGCCCCTTAGATTTATTCGAATTACTTGTTTACCCATGGAGTCTGTCAAGACTGCAACGGTTTTTTTACGCAATTGTTGTGGTTCTTGTAGCTCGTCGTCACTGTGGTCGCATCCGTAATTTTGATTGCTTAC